GAGGAATCGAACCCAGGGCCTCATGCATGCAAGGCAAGCGCTCTACCCCTGAGCCACCTTCCCAGCCCGTGTGTGTTTTATTTGTTTTCTTTGCCATCTGGTTGTTTATCTAACATAATCCCTGAATAAAGAGAAACTTCCAAGAACATTAGATAATTTATTGGGACTTCTGATTGGAGCTCGTGTCAAAATAAATATTTTTGAAACTTATGCTGAACACTAATGAATAAGTGACATTTACAAATAGTTTGTAGGAGAATCATTTAGGATTAGTCATTTTCATTTCTTCCACAAAATAAACAGTTCACTTAACTCTTAGTAAGCAGGAGGAAAAAAAAAAAACCAACAAAAATAAAGTCACATCTGTGGCACAATGGTAGTATTATTTTTATATTAAGGAAAATACCAGGATTAAAGACATTTTAAATTATCTGAAAAAATGACATGTTATTATATTTTTCTGGAACCCAGGAGGCAATTAATGGAATAAAAACAGCTAGAAAATGTAAGCAAAACTTCAGATAGGAAAGATTACACAGGAGAATTGTGTCCCCCCCAAATAACAAGTAAACTCCACAAACTTTCGCTTTTAGGTTTTCAATATTTTCACATCAATCTCCATCCCCAAATCCAGCCATCATAAAAATGAAATTGGAAAAAGTCCAGCTAGAGTCCCTGTTTACCCTTTCAACATGAGTACCATCTGCAGTGGGAGGAGCTGACGTGGAGACTTGCTTCTCTTCACTGGACAGACACACCCAGTTACAGCATCTCCACACTTTCCTGTGGATAGCATCTCAGTGCTTGTGTGTGCGCTTCAGCCCCATTACAGTGAAGGTAGCAGCTGTCAGTTTCTCATAAACAAGGAACATGAGAGCAGCTGTGAGGACTGTCTGCAGCAGTTTGGCTTCAAGGCCTTTGTAGAGTCCAATTATCCCAAAACGCCTAAAAGAAAAGAGGTTGGAAATAACAGGTTTTCTTTGTAAAAGTCAACTTTTACATCAGAGAAATATACTACCCTGATGGCTTCTTTGAAAAGATTTTAGACTTCAACACAGACTGTTGTCAAAGTACTTCTTAGTTTTAAAGGCATTTGGGGACTAATAAAGTTTAATATTCTTGGTCCCATCAATAATTTTTATAGTCATCATTAATTAGTGGAATGCTGGCAATATTCTACTAATAGGATGCAGATCTTGAAAGCTCCTAAAACCACTTTAAATGCTAAAATCTGACCTACGAACACTCTCCCAACTCAGTTATTTCAGCTTAATAGCCCCCAAGTCGTAGGAAAGCTTCCAATTAGATTAGAACATTTTGGCCCGAAAAGGAGAGAGAGTCAGAAATGAAAAGAAATGAAGTCTCAGACTTTCCATACATTTGGTCTACCCTAGGTAAACTTTAGCAAGCATCTCAATCACCCGAAGAGCTTCTTAAAATAGATTTCTGGGCCAATTCCCAGAGTTTCTGATTCATTAAGCTGGGGCCAGGGCTCAATAATTTCTATTTCTAGTAACTCTGGAGATCAGCCCTTAGGAAACACTCAGAGAACAATGTTTTGGCTAGAAGCTGAAATTCAGGAACAATGATCTCTCTAAAAGCTCTTTGTGCCGGGCGCTGGTGGCTCACGCCTGTAATCCTAGCTACTCAGGAGGCTGAGATCTGAGGATTGCGGTTCAAAGCCAGCCCGGGCAGGAGAGACCGTGAGACTCCTATCTCCAATAAACCACCAGAAAACCGGAAGTGGCGCTGTAGCTCAAGTGGTAGAGCGCTCGCCTTGAGCTGAAGAGCTGAGGGACAGCGCCCAGGCCCAGAGTTCAAGCCCCACGACCGCCAAAAAAATAAATAAATAAAAATAAATAAAAGCTCTTTGTACGAAGTGAATTAATCCCTTATGCTAGTTCAACAATTCCAGGGGTATATATGGCATGTGGACTAAGAGATTAAAACCAATCCTGTGCTCCACTCAGAAGTTATAACGAAGCTGGTTTACACCTGTAGTCCTAGCTACTAAGGAGGCTGAGAACTAAGGATCAAGGTTTGAATCCAGCCCTGGCAGGAAAGTCTGTAAGACTTTACTCTAGGGGCTGAGAATGTGGCTTAATGGTAGAGTGCTAACATGCATGAGGCCCTAGGTTCAATTCCTCAATACAACATAAACAAACGAAAAAAGACTCTAGCCTATAATTACAAAAGGATTTCAATTTCTTCTTCTGCCAACATTGCAGGACATTTGGCTGCATAGAATGATAGCTCTTACTCATTTAATCATTCATTAATCACCAAAAGCCAGAAGTAGAGGTATGGATCAAGTGGTAGAGTGCCAGCATTGAGCAAAAAAGCTAAGGGAGAGTGCCCAAGTCCTGAGTTCAAGTCACAGGACTGGCATAAAAAGACAAAACAAAAGGAAGAAATTTATATGTATGCAACATGGAAGAAATAGTTGGATTGTCAAAACATATAGAATTCACAAACTTTATAGACCAAGATAATGACAATTTGCCTTGTGAAGGTTAAAATGTGTTTGTGACTTTAACTTAGTATTACAATCTACAATACTGTGAAATTTGTGAAATTTATGTAATCAATCTCAATTAAAAAATATTTTTTTAAAAAAACAAAGTTACAGGAACAAGACTTGATCCATAATTTTCTTTCTTTTCTTTTTTTTTGTGGTGCTGGTTCTGGGGCTTGAATTCAGAGTCTGGGGACTGTCCCTGAGCTTTTTTGTTCAAGGCTGAGGATTTACCACTAAGCCACAGCTCCACTTCTACCTTTTTGGTGGTTAATTGGAAATAAGAGTATCAGGGGCTGGGCGCTGGTGGCTCACGCCTGTAATCCTAGCTACTCAGGAGGCTGAGATCTGAGGATCACGGTTCAAAGCCAGCCCGGGCAGGAGAGACTGTGAGACTCCTATCTCCAATAAAACCACCAGAAAACCGGAAGTGGTGCTGTAGCTCAAGTGGTAGAGCGCTTGCCTTGAGCTGAAGAGCTGAGGGACAGCGCCCAGGCCCAGAGTTCAAGCTCCACGACCAACAACAAAAAAAAAAGAGTATCAGGGACTTCCCTGCCCATGCTGGCTGCAAACCACAGTCCTCAGTTGTCAATCTCCTGAGTAGGTCGGATTACAGTCCTGAGCTGCCAGTGCCCTGCTCCAATTTTATTTAGTTTTATTTTATTTTTTTTTGCCAGTCCTGGGACTTGAACTCAGGGCCTGGGCATTGTCCCTGAGCTTCTGTTTGCTCAAGGCTAGCACTCTGCCACTTGAGCCACAGCACCACTTCTGGCTTTTTTTTTTTTTTTTTGGTCGGTCATGGGGCTTGAACTCTGGGCTTGGGCACTATTCCTCAGCTGTTCAGCTCAAGGCGAGTGCTCTACCGCTTGAGCCACGGTGCCACTTCCAGTTTTCTGGTGGTTTATTGGAGGTAAGAATCTCACGGACTTTCCTGCCCAGGCTGGCTTTGAACCATGATCTTTAGATCTCAGCCTCCTAAGTAGCTAGGATTACAGGGGTGAGCCACTGGCACCCGGCTCTGACTTTTTTTTAATGTGGTTCTGAGGAATCAAACCCAGGGCTTCATGCATGCTAGGAAAGCACTCTACCACTAAACCACACTCCCAACCCATCCAATTTTATTTTTTTATACCATGCATATATTATTTGTATAGTAAATTTATTTCAAAGTACCTTGTATCTAGGAACAACAATAAAATTATAGCCTCTTTTACTTTAGAAGGACTCCCTGACTATATTTGACTTCTCTATCAAATTAAGGAAACAGAAATGACTAGCTTCTACCTCTAGAACGACTGCTAAGATTAACTGAAATGACTCATGTTACAGCACCTAGCCAATGTCTGTCGAGTGGCTCCTATTACCCTCCTTAACATCCCCACCAACATCAAATTGGCATCATTCTTCCCACTCTCCACTCTCTTTCTCAGGACCTCTGCCACTCTACAAGCAAATGTCATATTCCTAAGGGAGGTTTATATGCTATGAATGAGAGGATCAAATGGGGATCTCTTCCTCCTTCCTTGTTTTTTGTGGGGTGGGAGATTGTTGTAGTTAGGAATTGATCTTGGGGCCTTGTCCATACTAAGTATGGCTCTACCACTGAGTACACCCTAGAGGGTTCCCTTGCTGGAGTTGTATGTATCTGTAACTAACAAAAAATCAGGGCCAGAAGTGTCCCATAATTTCTCAATTGCTGTCAAATTGTATTAAGCTTCTGAACTGAGAAATGTCGGAGCACATAGGGAGAGGTTTCTGGAGCCATTGCACTAGTGCAAGAGAAGCAATTTCAACCATTCCTGGCAGAGGTGGCTGCTGAAGGGAGGGCAGAAGGTGACACAGTGACAAGCTCACTTGACTCTCTGGTGAAGAAGATAGAGAACATTCCGAAGACTCCCCAATGTTCTGTTCTCGGGATTTAGTCTGTGACGTCCAAACTGTGGAAGGAGAAATAAAAATTTCCATTTATTGCTGCTTAAAAAAAAACTTTATTTCTATACAGAGAGGAAATTACATTAATGTCTTATATAGCACTTAATAAAAAATATTCATTTATCATAGATTTCATTAACCTTCTATTTTTTAATTAAGTGAAATATTTCGATGAAATAAGTTGAAAAAAGAATTCTTTTCTGGGGCTGGGAATATGTCTTAGTGGTAGAGTGTTGACCTAGCATGTTTAAAGCCCGGGGTTCAATTACTCAATACTACATAAACAGAAAAAACTGGAAGTGTTTACTGTGGCTCAAGTGATAAGAGTACTAGCCTTGAGCAAAAGAAGCTCACGGACAGTAGTGCCCAGGCTCGGAGTTCAAGCCCCATGATTGGCAACAAAACAAAATAAAACAAAAAAACCACCTTTTTTGTACATCACCTTTATAATGACAATTAAAAATTTTTTTTAATTGTGTGTGTGTGTTTTGGTACTGGAGCTTGAGCTCTGGGTGAGCTCTTGCTCAGCTTTTTTTGCTCAAGGTTAATGTTATACCACTTGAACCACACCTCCAGTTACAGCTTTTGCTGGTTTACTCAAGATAAAAGAGCCTAAGGCATTTATCTGTGAGGGCAGATAAATCAAGCTTCGAACCTTGATCCTCAGATCTCTGCCTCCTGAGTCGATATATCGGCATGAGCCAGTAAAATATTTCTTTTTCAATAAAGCAAGCATACATTTTTGTATGTGGGTCCATTGTGGGGCTGAACTCAGGGCTTGGGCACTGTACCAGAGCTCTTTTGCTCAAGGCTAATGCTCTACCACTTTGAGCCACAGCTCTACTTCCAGTTATCTGGTGGTAATTAGAGATAAGAGTCTCATGGACTTTCCTACCTGGGCTGGTTTTGAACTCTGATCCTCAGATCTCAGCCTCCTGAGTACCTAAGATTACAGGTGTGAGCTACTGGTGCCTGGGAAGCATGGGAATTTTTACTGTTGTTGTTGAACCTATGTAAGCTTGGACTGTACCACTGAACTAATCTCTAGCTTCAAGAATTTTCACTAGCACAGAGAAGTATGGAGAAAATTCTACCGCCAAAGGATGATGATTTAGGTATGGAAGTATGCTTTTATAATTTCTAGTTATTTGAGAAGTTCTGATAAACCCAAATCAGTTAGAACCTCTATAGACTAGCACCCTCCATGTTATACATTATGCTAAGTACCAATTTAAATAATACCATCCTTCCTACTTGGATTTCTGATGGTTATTTTAGAGATGGAGTCCATAGAATTTTTCTGTCTGGGTTGGCTTCAAACTCAATCCTTTGGATTTCAGCTTCCTGAATAACTAGGATTACAGGTGTGAGTTACTGGTACTTTGCTAGTAAAAATACTTTTAACAGAAAACCAAAATACTCACACCACTTTCATTTTTATCTATCAATAAGTCTTTCAAATTTTCTTTCTAGAACTGGCATGAATCCAGGGCTACTCATTTACTAGACAAGTACTCCATAACTGAGCTACATTCTCAGCCCCAGAACAGATCATGAAGCTGACCATATCTGATCTCTTCTCTCCACTGCTGCTATCCTGGTCTAGGCCATCATCCCCTTATTTGGATTACTGAAATAGCTCCCTAGTGGATCCAATTCCCTGCTTTTGCTTTTAGCTTCTGACCACTTTGCCAGAAATCTTGTGGAATTATACATCAGGTAAAAGCCCTCTGAGGCATCCCTGAGCTGGGAATACTACCTATATTTCTAATCTACAGCTTCTCTGGTACTTTTCCAATCTTACCCTAAGCAAGCCATTCTCTCATAGCTTTGAGCTGTGAACCAAGCTCTTGGCACTTCATGCTTCCTTCCTGGAATGTACTTTGCACGTCAAGGTCCTTGTCTTCCCATTCATTTTGAATTCAATATGTTGAATTCAATTCATTTTGAATTCAACATATTGAATTCAACTCCTCCTTGGAGTTGTTCAAAGCCAATGACGCTTCTTAACAACAGGCCAACCACCCTTCTCCACTAAGCCAGGGTCTTCTGAGATACTTTGTCACCTACAAAATTACAGATGTGAACGTCATTCCACACCAAACAGGAAGCTAATCAACAGTTAGCCTGGTTAGCAGAATACCAAACAAATGGAAAAAATGGAAGGGGACTACTCAGACATAGCAACTGACTCCTCCTTCCCTTATTAACACTGCTTCAAATAAAAAGACCAAGTATTGGACACAATGCAGGTAGAAACCCAGTACTCACCCTCAGGATCGACTGTACCGTCTGCATGGGATAGGTGACTGTGGTGGCGATTGCTTTGGCTATTGCACCAATAATGAACACATCCAAAGAAGAAAGCTGGAAGGCAAATAATGAACCATATCAACTCAAACAACGAGAAGGTACCAGGAACTATTATATTGTTGCTTTCAAAAGCAGGGATTACCTTCATCTTTTTCTTTAAAAGCTGTCGTTTTAAACCTTCATAGAACATGAATTGGATGGCAGGATTGAAGACCAACAGCAAAGAGGGAAATGTACCATTCCATAATGCCAAGACTCCTTCATCTCGAATGATTTGGTGAAAAGCATCTAAGCAAAATATCAGGAGTTTGAAAAGGATAATGATAATGCCTTAACTAGAAAAGCTAAGAAATCGGTTTAAATGTACCCAGAACACAAACCTGACTGGTTCCCTCTTGCAAAGGCCATTTTAGGGACATCTTCGTGAGTTAATCACCTCTTGCTGCTGTTGTTTTAGTAGTACTGTGGGTGTGAACTCAACACTGGTCTTGCTAGGAAGAAGCTCCATCACGTGAGCCACACCCCCAAGCTGTTTGTTTTGGAGACAGAGTTGCACTAAGGAGCCCAAGCTAGTTTGGAACTCACAATCCTATCTCAGTCTCCCCAGTGCTAAGATTACAAGTATGTACCACCACCACTCAGAGCAATTAATTACTTTTGACAATAGTTTGCTAATCATTAACTGATGGGTAGTTATTAGTCACTTAATTATGACTAATTAACCAATTAGTTACTGAGACTATCTTCAATCTTAGGAAAGTCTTCCTGACGATCTAGTATTAGAACAATAAATTCCCACCACCACAGAGCTGTGAACTGATAATGCCCCTAAAATACAAGGTCCAGTATAACAAAAGACTGTTTTCTGGAATCTACTACATAGGACTGACATTATTAAAACACAGAAGCTGAGCTATATGCTGGTGCCTAATTCTTGTAATCCTAGCTACCTGGAAGGCAGTTCCAGGCCAGGCAAAGTTCATGATATCCCCATCTCAAGAGAAAAAGGTATGTGGTGGTATGTGCCTATCTTCACAGCTGTGGTAGGAAGCCTAGGTAGGAGGATTACAGTCCAGGGTTGTCTGGACAAATGGAAGACACTAACTAAAAAATAACCAGAGCAAAGAGGAATGAAATATGTTCATGCAGTACAGCACCTGCCTAGCAAGTGAGGAAGTTCTGAGTTCAAATGCCAGTACCTCAAAAAAAAAAAAAAGGAGAAAGAAAAAGAAAAAGAAGCTGGATACTGGGGGCTCATACCTATAATCCTAGCCACTCAGGAGGCTGAGATCTGAGGATTGTGGTTCAAAACCAGCCCAGGCAGGAAAGTCCATGAGACTCTTATCTCCAATTAACCACCAGAAAACTGGGAGTGGTGCTATAGCTCAGGGACAGTGTCCAGGCCCCAAGTTCAAGTCGCATAACTGCCCCCACATCCTCAAAAAAGCAAGCAAGCAAGCAGAAGATCAAAGACCACCAGATACCAAATGTGTATATGTATCCAAAGACAATACTAGAAAAAAAAGGTATAATTATTTCCTAAAACATTTACTTGGTTTAGGGGTGTATCTCAGTGGTAGATTCTTGCCTAACATGCATTCAAACCAAAACATCACAAACAAAAACAGAAAAATAATTAAAAATTACATATACTATTAGTCATATACAAACTACATTTTTTTTGGTCGGTTGTGGGGCCTGAACTCTGGGCCTGGTCACTGTCCTTCAGCTTTCAGCTCAAGGCTAGTGCTCTACCACTTAAGCCACAGCACCACTTCTGGCTTTTTCTGCTTATGTGGTACTGAGGAATCAAACCCAGGGCCTCATGCATACAAGGCAAGCACTCTACTGAGTCACCTTCCCAGCCCCTGTAAACTACATTTTATAAATTGTTTTTTATTTTTATTTTTTGTGCTTATGGGGCCTGGGCATTGTCCTTGACCTCTTTCTGTTTGAAAATTCAAGCTTTGGGGGTTTTGTTTTTTTTGTTAGTCATGGGTCCTGCATTCAAAGACTGGGTGCTATCCCTGACCTTTTGTTTAAGGCTACCACTTTGAGCCATACCAACACTTACTGCACCTACACCTCCTGAGAGCAGTGTTCTCTATCTCGTCTTGGGCATCATTTTGACCACTAGGGTATTTGCAGGCAAAATGCAAATGGGCTTTATCACTGGGTACAGCCTTGGGTCCTCTGTGTTTTTACCATTGCCACAAAAAGAGCATATTCAAGACTGGTCCCAGAAAGAGGAAGGGAGACATATGAAGCTGAGACTCTCAGCTGGGGTAGGCTTAGATGAGTTAACTCCCTGCCAACCCATGGACACATTGGCTAACAAAAGCTTACTGAAGGGCTGGGAAGTTGGCTCAGTGGTAGAGCGCTTGCCTTGCATGCCTGAGGCCCTGGGTTCGATTCCTCAGCACCACATAAGCAAAAGAAAAAAGCCGGAAGTGGCGCTGTGGCTCAAGTGATAGAGCACTAGCCTTGAGCTGAAGAGCTGAGGGACAGTGCCCAGGCCCAGAGTTCAGGCCCCCACAACCGGACCAAAAAAAAAAAAAAAAAAAAAGCTTACTGAAGGTTATTAGAACTTGAGGCTGGCTGTTTCCTAGCTTGATTGTTGCCACAGGTTCCATATATAAAGGGGAACAAAGCCCTGAGGAGAACCATAGCCCAGCAACACTCACCAATGATGCCTTTGTAGTTAGTTGGTACAATGTCTTCATTTCGAAACTTTGCCCCTTGCAGCTTCAGTCTGGTGTTCACCACCCAGAGTGGAGTTGTGAGCAACACATTCACCACTCCTTAAAACGAAAGGGAACAAGAAAAGGGAATGTAAGATAACCTTTTCAGCTATGTTGTCTTTAAGCTACATAGCAACACTCCACTTATTCTTTTACAACTGACCTCGGGTAAGCTGTGCAATTGTGCACATGCCACTACTATTAGAAGCAATCTGGAAGCAAAATAACTGGCAGTAGCTCCCAGAAAAGAGCAGTGAGTTTCCAGAAGGCAATTACTTGCCCATCTTTATAGCATTCCAAGTAGCAATTTTAGGTTGGAGATAAAGAGCAGTGGCAGAAAGAGCATTTGTCTAGCATGCACAAGGTCCAGGGTTCAATCCTCGCCTCTGCAAACACCAAAACCTAAAAACTGCCCCAAAAACAAAGAAGCAGTTTTTATATAGTTTTAAAGATAATTTTTAAATAACAGCTTGAGGGAGGGGGAGCTGTCTTATTGAAAACATGTTAGGTCCATGACAATATCTAAGAACAGAGAACTGTCAACTCTCAGTAGTTCATGTGGTTTTAAGTGAATATGGATCTGACACAGTAAGTGACAGGTGGGAGGACATGGTGACATCTCAGAGTGCTTCAACAGGGAGTAGAAGTTCACAGAAGGGTTGCTCATTACTTAGAGAATCAGGACAGGCAGGCAGCAAGCAGCAGTTATGAAGTGACACCAAAAAAAAGCAACCAGAAACAGCTGCATGCTCATCATGACCCTTACAAGGATGGATCTTGGCTCCCTAAGGCTGCCTCAGAGGAGAACAACACAATGGGCCAGGTTCTTTAGTGAAAACATTCTGTCCCACTTTAACACCATCTTGAGAGATTAACACGTTCCCCATCAGTCCTAAAATGATTAACAAAAATACCATACAGAACTGTAACAATGTGCCTGGCAAATGGTATACACTGTAAAATGTGTGTTAACCAAGGAACAAACTCAACAAAGAAACATATATGGAGCTACCTGGTTCTAGCCCTGCTCTGGACAAAAAAGAGGAACAATCCTAAGGGAGAAAAATCATCAACTAAAAGTCCTTTAAACCCAAATAGAGAAAGACTGCTTTGATTTAAGGATCTGCAAAATATTCTATGCAGAAGACACTTCAAGAACAAACCAGGTGAAATAACCAAGAGACTCAAATTCAATGTTTTCATTTGTGTACACAGTTGAAAAAAGAAGGTATTTTTCTATGTCTTAGGAGCATTATAAGACTATTTTGCACCATGCTCTCTCCTATAATCCTAACTCCTAAGGAGGATGAGATCTGAGAACTGTGACTCAAAGTCAGCCCTGTCAGGAAATAGTCTCTTCTCCAATTAATTACCAAAAAGCTGGAATAGCACCCAATCCCTGACTTTAAACTCCAGTACTGGCACATAATTAAAGAGGAAGAGAGAACATATTTCTCAAGATAAAAGATACTCTTAAATAATTTTATAAGTTGTATGTGTTCCATTTTTACAGTTGTGGGGCCTGAACTCTGGGCCTGGGCACTGTCCCTCAGCTCTTCAGCTCAAGGCTAGTGCTCTACCACTTGAGCCACAGTGCCACTTCTAGCTTTTTCTGCCTCATGCATGCAAGGCAAGCACTTTACCACTGAGCCACCTTCCCAGCCCTAACATCCAGACATTTTCATACACTGTCACTGGAGACACCAACAATAGCCGGGTGCCAGTGGCTCACGCCTGTAAGCCTAGCTACTCAGGAGGCTGAGATCTGAGGATCTTGGTTCAAAGCCAGCCAGGGTAGGAAAATCTGTGAGACTCTCCAATTAACTACCAGAAAACTGGAAGTGGCGCTGTTGCTCAAGTGGCAGAGCGCTAGCCTTGAGCTGAAGAGCTAAGGGACAGCGCATAGGTCCAGAGTTCAAGCCCCACGACTGACAAAAGAAAAGAAAAAAAAAAAGGTTTACCACAAATGATTCTTGCTATTTTTTTTTAATGCCTGTGTATCAGAAGCCAAAATGGAAATATAGAAACATGTTTTCAGAATTCTGAATGGATTCCTACCCATGCAGCATACACCTCAGCAGAAACAAAGCAACAGCTGGAAAAATCAATTAGGAATATGACTGAGCAGTCTACTACACTTCTTTTAAGAAAAAATGGAGAGAGTTTGGCACCAGGTGTCACATATGCCCATTTAAACCTAAGAAACTGTGTACACACCTTTCTAAACAAATGAAGTATAGTGCCCACTAAACCAACTCATGAGAAATCCAAGTTTCCTTCATGTTCTTTTTAAGAAGTTGTCATACACAAAACATTAAGAGGTAATGCAGTCAAGATTAAGATTTAACCACTATGGAAAATTCTGCTTTCATGTCCCCATTATTAACACAGCTGAAAGACTAAAAGAACTTAAAGGACAACCTCAAGTACAAAGTGTACCACATTATTTTAAAAAGAGAATATAAAAAGTCCTTATGAAAATATTTTTTATTTCAAAGCTTTTTATTTGAGAAGTTCAAGTACTTTTTTCATCTTGTAAGTCAAAATAGACGGAGAGGTACTTTTAACCACTATAATTTTATGAATTCTGGGAAAAGGGCACTCAAAATACTTGAGAATCTAAAACTTTACTAAAATGTGCAATTTATATAATCAAGCAAAGGACAATATTCCATTGAAGAGAAACATGTCATAAACTATTCATGAGTACTAATGTCAGCTCTTACTAACTCTTACTAAAAGCTTTCGAACAGCCTATGGATAAAACTTGTGCTAGATCCTATGGGTGGCTGCTACTTGAGCTCTAAGATAGGAAGATGGGAATGCTAATTAATACTTTATTTACCTAAGGACAGGAGGTTCAATTTCTATGATTCTACTTTCTTTTCTTTTCAAAAACAAGTCAGGGGGCTGGAAAGGTGGCTCCGTGGTAGAGTGCTTGCCTTGCATGCATGAGGCCCTGGGTTCAATTCCTCAGCACCACATAAGCA